GAAAAGGAGTTTGCGGAAGTCTGCGAAAGTCTGCGGAAGCTTACGGGAGCCCAAAATTCATTTGGTTTTGGGGGGCTGCGGGGGGGGGGGGTGTAGGGGGGGGCAGGGGGGGCAGGGCAGGGGGGGGGCAGGGAATCAGGGTGTGGGGGTGTTGCAGCCCCTGAAAGTTGTCTGCCCCACCCCAAGCCACGTCCTCACTTGTGCTAGCCATGTGCCCGCCCAAAGCCAAGCCGTGTCCTCGCGATTTGCTAACTTTGTATTTGTCCCAACCCAAGCCGTTTCCTCACCTTTGCTAGCCATGAACTTGCTCTAACTCAAGCCGCGTCCTTACCCTTGCTAACCATGTACGGGCCGTAACCCAAGCCGTGTCCCTGCCCAACCTTGCCCCAACCCTAGCCGTGTCCCTAACATGGCTTTGATGTTAAGCATTCTACGCCGAACCCAAGGCCTAAGTCCAACTCGAAAGAAGCTGCAGGCCGCCAGTCTCAACAGCTCCTCTTCCTTGCCCTAACCCTGAAGCCCCAAAATAACCTTACCATGGTAAGGGTTTACCCGTAGGCCCTAAGGTAGTTCCTTTTTGGGGTTACCTTATAGGATTCTATATATGAACAAAAAAGGAACTACTTTAGGGCCTATGGGTAGGGATGAAGGCCAAGACACTGAGCTAAGTACGAGTGTCTCTGAAAAGCCTTCGAGATTTCGAGCCTGGGGTTCTGGGTCTTCTTTTTTTAGGGTTTAGGGTTTAGGGCTTAGGGTTTAGGGTTTAGGGCTTAGGGTTTAGGGTTTAGGGTTTAGGGACTGTAGTATAGGGGCCTACATGGCTAAAGTGAGGCGTTGGGCTATACAGTGCAATTTACTGGGAAGATCAGGAAATAATTAGCCACGCGCCTGCAGCAGGGTCATGGGACCTCCTGATTCGGCATAAATCGCGCTTCCTAGTCGGAAGACCCGCCCTCAAACCTTTAAGGGGGCCTCGGCACGACCGCTTCGGGCCTACTACGCGGTCCCTCACGTTCTGCAACTCCCAAATCGTGGAACCTACACTGTGGGCTCAGAACTTCCCCTGCAAAGATTTAGGGTTTAGGGTTTAGGGGTTTAGGGTTTAGGGAAAGAGCTCAAAATCTGACCTGGAAATGCCTATCCTCAAACATTGAAAGTCAGACCCTTCTGTTTTCTTGCCGCACCCTATCCTAAGCCCCAAAGCTCTGGATTTAGGGATTAATATTGGGGCCTTCATAATTAGAATAAGGCTTTGGCGACCCCCCTAATACTACAATTGTAATAAGGAGCCCCCAAAATCATGTAGTAAATAATTATTTGGTCATAATTTAAATTATTTAGGCCCCGATATCCCAAAGGCTCCATGTACCCCTATAGTAGATACTTAGGCCTTAAAGTGCCTATATAGGGACCCCTTTAAGGCCTGAGTATCTACTATCAAGGTACATGGAGCCTTTGGGTATTAGACTGAAAGCATCCCCCGCAGACCTCCTGCGACATCTGTGCAGCTCCGGCGGAGGCAATTCTGGCAGCCTTGTCCTCCTTGATCCAAGGGCGGCTTATGAGGTCTTTAAATAATTTTAATAGGGTTTGAGGGGTTCCTTTAGAGGGTCCCTGAAGGGGTTCGATAAGGGCTACTATAAGGGTTTAGGGTTTAATTGCCATAATAGTTAGACTAGGGTTTTGGGCCCATTATACTATGATCATAATAAGGGAACCCCCCCAAGATAGGATTGGTAATTATTTAGGCCCCTACATTATGAGGCTTTTCGGTTTGCCGCTTAGAGTTTAGGGTTTGGGAGCGAAGGAGTTTCTTCAATATCCGGGCCTTACTTAATTCAAAGAAAGTCTGGGATAAATGTACTATAGAACGATGTCGGGGCTGGAAGGGAAGACTCTGACCAAGTACTCATTTAGGGTTTAGGGTTTAGGGTTTAGGGACACACACACAGAGTGACACACGCCACACACACACACACACACACACACACCCTAACCTCTAAACCCTAAACCCACATCTCTATCTTAGCACCGAAGGCTTGGCTGAGCTCGGGTTTTGGGTTTGGGCTTAGGGTTTTCCGCGTGAAGTTAAGGGTTAAGAGATTGGGGTTAACGGTCTCCAAAACACCAGGTGGTGCTGATAAATCGTTTAGGGTTGGGGGTTAAGCGGTTTAGGAGTTAGAGTGCTAATAAAAAGGGGCTTGGGCAGGACTAAGTAAGACCTACAAAAATACGGGATTCCCAGCATAGACCCCAATCGTATAATCCTTATTGCGAGGACTCTGAATAAGTTTGCGAAATCAGATGGAACCCGTGAAAAGCACTGCAAAACTGTAAGACGTGACGAGACCCCTGAAGTCAACGTTGAGGTAGGCTGTTCATCTCCAGTACCCCCGAAAAGCCCCCAAACCCAAAACCCTAAACCCCGCTCTGGTCCTACATTGCCTACATACACTCATAAGCACTCTGACATGAATCGTAGAACCGGCCTGGAACCCCTTTAGCTCAACTTTAGCCCCTCATGGGAGAGCGCTTCAAGCCCTAAGACCCTCTAGTAACTCCTAAACCGGTTAAGGTTTAGGGTTTAGGGTTTAGGGTTTAGGGTCCCTGAGCCATAAACACTTAAATTCATCGGACCCTCGTAAGCCTTAACCTAAGGGTCCTTGTACCCAAATAGTATATACATTGGCCCTAAAGTACCTACATGGGGACTACATTGAGGCCAAAGTATATACTATTTGGGTACATGGACCCTTAGGGTAACCGTAAACCCCCAAAACTAAGCGCGCACACTTTTATAGTGGTCTCAGGCTGTGGCGGCTTGCTTCTGGGCGGCCGCCTGGGCTGCCACCTTTGCCTTTTCCTGCTCGGCGTCGCAGGATGTAGGGTTTGGGCATTTTCGGCATACTTTTGGTGCTGTGCGGAAGTCAAGACTCAGGTTAGTGAAACTTCGCTGTTCTGGGTCCAGGGGCCCGACGGCTTGGAAGGGCTTTGCCGGTCGTGAGGGTGACTGAAGTAGATTTGCTTAGTTAGTTGGTGCATTTGGGGTTTCCGGTTGAAACCAAAACCCGACACCCCTGTGAAGGGTTTGGGATGTATATAGAGTTTTAGCTTTTGTGCTTAAGTAGAGCCCGTTTTCCACCAAGCACGCTCGCTGCCCTGCGGTTGAAAGCCCCATAGCGCCATAGGGCGGGGTTTAGGCTTCGGGCTGAGGATATGTTTGGGTTTTTGCCGAAGGGCTCCCGTAGGGCCTTCACACTTTCTAAAGGGCTTTGGGATCTGTTAAGGTATAACTATAAAGGGACTATGAGCGAATATATCACTACTTAATCTTGGCTGACTTCTGAACCCCTCCGAAAAGTTAAACTGTAGCCTAGCTATCATAGTTCATCTAGAAACCCAAAAAGGCTACAGTCCTAAGATCCAACCAGAAGAGATCCAAGTCATGATTGCAGGTTCTTGCTACTAAGGCTTCCATCGTTTCAGGTCTACGGAAGCTTCTTCGGGGCTTCGTTCTGGGCGAAGATCCTATCAAGAACTCGCGCTCAGGTTGTGGATGAAGACTTCGGGCGTTTAGTGGAGCTTAGGACTTAAGGCTTATGGACTCCAGGAGTTTGGGGCTTAGGGGCTATCACATAGTGCTTCCGCTTGGTGCAGACCCTACACCTCCCTAAACCCTAAACCCTAAACCCTAAGCCCTAAGCCCTAAACCCTAAACCCTAAACCGGGTTTAGGGTTTAGGGTTTTTGTGAGTTTGGGACTTGGGGGTGTAGGACTCCATGAGGCCTTCTGAAGCTCTTAACTGTAGAGGTTATGGGGTCTGTGTTTAGATAACCCCCCCTAAGGGTTTAGGGTTTAGGGTATCAGTTTCTTTCTGCCGAAATCCCTAAACTCCAAACCGCAAACCCTAAAACCGAAATCCCTGAACCCTGAACCCTTACGAAAACCTAAACCCGAAATCCCCAAACCGTAAACCCGAAATCCCTGAACCCTAAACCCTAAACCCGAAATCCCTACACCCTAAACCCGACATCCCTAAACCCTAAACCCGAAATCCCTAAACCCTAAACCCGAAATCCCTAAACCCTAAACCCGAAATCCCTAAACCCTAAATCGGAAATCCCTAAACCCTAAACCCTAAACCGGCCTCTGCAGCGTCTTTGGCAGAGTCCTTGGCAGCCTGCACCGCCTTGGCCTGCTAGAACACCATTCCGGGGTTAGGGGTTTAGGGTTCAGGGTTTAGGGTTTAGGGTTTAGGCTTTGGGGTTTAGGGTTTAGGGGTTACTGTATAAGGGCCTTAATGATTACTTGTACCATATTGGGGGAGGTGCTTATCATAATTAGAGTATAATATACCCCAAAATCCTATTGTAACCATTAATATGATAGTGTTTAGTTTTAGTTTACCCTAAGGGTCCATGTACCCAAATAGTATATACTTTGGCCTTAATGTAGTCCCCATATAGGTACTTTAGGGCCAATGTATATACTATTTGGGTACATGGACCCTTAGGGTTAAGCTGCTTGTAAGGTTGGGAGTTCCAGATTAGATTCTACACTACTTTTTTGTAGGGTCCCTATAAATCCCATATTATAAGGTTTATAATAAGAACCTACAAAAAAGTGGGTTTTGGGTTCTTAAGGTAGGGCTTTAGGGTTTTAGGGCGAACTCTCAGGCTTACTTCGTTTGGGTTTAGGCTGAAGCTCTTCAGGGTTTTGCACTAGAAATTGCACGCTGTTTGTGGCTGAATGCGGCTTGAAGCTTGAGGGTTCAAGGGTTCGGGGGAATTTAGGGATTGATAGGGTTTAGGCCTTTAGGGTGTAGGGTTTAGGGTTTAGGCTTTAGGTTTTAGGGTTTAGGGTTTTGGGTTTAGGGCTCTGGGATTGAGGGTTTTTTGTCAGGATTTCGGGGCTTAGGGTTCAGGGCTCACACTCACACCCCATCACGCCGCACCCGTCGCCCCAATCCCGACACTGAAGCTACAATCAACTCAGTCCGCCTTGGCATCCTCCTCGGCCACAGACTTCGCCAACTTGAAAGCATTTGCTTTGGCGTCAGCTTCTGCTTTCTCCTCAGCGCGGATTTAAGATTTCGAGCGCAAGCTCCCCATTTTTTACACTTCAAGGCTAAACCCAAAACCTAAACCCTAAACCCTAAACCCTAAACCCTAAACCCTAAACCGTGGGACATGTTTCAGGATTGGGGGCTTGGACTTCGGCGTTCAGACGGACGATGGACGTCTCATCCAAAACGAGAGCCTAAACCATAAACCCCAAGCCCTCCACCCTAAACCCCATAAGCCCCGAACCCAAAAGCCTAAACCCGAAGCCCTAAACCAAAAAGCCTAAACCCTTAGCCCTAAACCAAAAAGCCTCAACCGTTACTTAGCCCTAAACCACAACGCCTAAACCCTAAACCCCTAAACCCCTAAACCCCTAAACCCTAAACCCCCAATCCCCAAAACCCTTAAACCCTAAACCCCTAAACCTCTAAACCCTAAACCCCTAAACCCCCCAAACCCCCTAAACCCCTAAACCCGGCCAAAGCCCAAACCCTAAAAGCTGCAGGAACTTACGATTTAGGGTTCAGGGTTTACCTTAAGAACCTCAAACCCACTTTTATGTAGGTTCTTATTGTAAACCCTAATATGGGATTTATAGGGACCCTGCAAAAAAGGTAGGTTCTGGGTTCTTAAGGTAGGGTTCTTCCCCACCAAGTCTCCTCCGCTTCGGCCTTTGCCTTTTCCGTGGCCTTTGCCTCCAGGCCTTCCTGTGCCTGCGCAGGTTTCGGGGCTTTAAGGGGCCTATAGGGGTTCCTTTAAAGGAACTATAAGGGTTCCTTTAAAGGGAACTATAAGGGTTCCTTTAAAGGGAACTATAAGGGTTCCTTTAAAGGAACTATGAGGGTTCCTATAAGGGGTCTCTAAGGGTATAGGGTTTAGGGTGTAGGCTTTTAGGGTCTAGGGTTCAGGGTTTAGGGGTTTTCGGGGTGACGGACCTGTCTCCACGCAGACTTGCGGTTTAGGTGAAGTTTAAGGCTCAGCGCTTCAAAGTTTCGGGATTTGTGGTTAGAGCTTCAGGATTCTCGGGTTTAGGGTTTAGGGTTTAGGGTTTAGGTTTGCGCGTCTTGGTGCTCTAGGTTGTAATCATCATATGTCGTCGCTTCTGGGGCTGTCGGGCTAAGGTTGCCGTGGTTTTGGTAGAACGCCGAAATTTGTAGGACCGCTGCGCGGCTCATGTTGAGGAAGACGTCAAGTCTGCCACCCTAGAGTCGATACCCTAAAACCCTAAACCCTAAGCCCTAAACCCTCTACTCTTGGCGTTATAAGGAGCCCGAAGCACTAGAATTACTAGTTATCCGAGGCCATATTGCTCTGAGGCTCCAGGTGGCGCCATAGAGTACGTACTTAGGCCGTAGGCCTGCCTATATCGGCACTTGCAGGCCCGAGTCCCAAGTATACCTTAAGAACCCAAAACCTACCTTTTTGTAGGGTCCCTATATATCCCACATATTAAGGTTTATACTAAGAACCTACAAAAGAGTGGGTTTTGGGTTCTTAAGGTATATTATGTAGGTACATGGAGCCGCAGGCAAGGCTAGCGTTTAGGGATGAGGGTGCGGTGGCACCTGCTTCTGAGCTTCAGCCGTCGCAATCTTCTTGGCCTGGGAAGCACATGGCGCATTTTTAGCTACTGCTGACTCTTCTTTTATCAGAAGACATATTACCAACGGAGATCTATGCAAAGACAACCTCCTTTTGTAGGATCCTTAAAGATCCCGTATAGGAACTCTTCAGCAAACCCCAAACCTTAAACCCCGAAGCCCGAAACCCCTAAGCCCCTAAACCCCTAAACCCTAAACTAAACCCCTAAACCCTATACCCTAATCTACCCCTTATCGGACATGGCCCTCCGGGGATTCCCGTTCGAGCCTCGGCCTCTGCGGCTTTCTGCGCCTGTGAGGCCCAGGAGGGAATGCTACTTTTGGTATCGGAGTTTTTGGGCTTATAGGGCTCATGGGGCTTAGGGTTTAGGGGTTAGGGGTTTAGGAGTTATAGGGCTTATGGGGCTTAGGGTTTAGGGTGTAGGGGTTAGGGGTTTAAGGGT